AAACCCCCTGTCCCACCACTTTGGGTGTGTACAAATCGTTGCTTACATTTTTACATATAGCACGTTGATTGACTTTATCATGTTTAAAAAAAATTCATACAAGTGATGTTTTGGGACGTTCACCCTTAGGTTTACCCCTTACAGGAGGTACAGGGGGTAAAGCTCCCGACCGAGATTGACTCTGAGTTGGAGCTTGTGTTGCGGGACTAATGGGTGTTTCATCTAATTCTCCTTCCTCATTTTCTTCTTCCTCATTTTCTTCATCCTCATTTTCTTCGTCCTCAATAAAAATATCATTGCCAAATTGTCTTTGTAAAGTTTCATGATCTAGTTGTTCTCCGAAATTAATATTATAACATGCGGAGGTTGGGAAAATGAAGTTTCATCAACATGAGTCATTTCATCTATATGTTTTCTAATTCTAGGAGAAGGATTAGGATTACTACTATTATCACCTCTATTACTTCTTTTACTTTTTTTTTTTTAAAATAGGCCAAATACATTTTTAGGTACCATAATTTAAATACGAAATTAAATTAAAAAAATTAAACACACAAATAAAATACGAAGCTAGAACACGTAAAGTAAACACAAAAATTAAGCACTAAAATAATACGCAAAAATTATATATTAAAATTAGGAGACGGAAAGAGTGCACCGTGATTAAATATTGAAACTTGAAGAAATTTCCCAAAAAATTGCTCCAAATACTTGACGAATTAATTTGAAGCTTGAAAGTTGCTCCAAAAATTTGCCCAAATATTTGAAACTTAGTTGATCACTTGATTGTGAGAAAATCGAGAGAATAATATATATAGAATTTAAGAGATTTGGGAGAGAATGATTGATTTTTGTGGGAAAATATGAAGAAGGATGGAGGTATTTATAGTAAAAATAGGGTCAAAGTGTAATTTAATAAACTTAGGGGTTATATTAAAGTTTGGGAAGGGGGGAGAGGGGGGTAGGGGTATTTTGGGGGGGGGGGGGAGGGAATATGGCCGTTTTTGGCTGTTGGGAATGGCTAAATTTGCAACGGAGGCCGTTGCCCAACGGCTGTATATCAAAAAAAAAAAAAACACGGGACAGACAGACAGGTAGGACGAGACGGGACAGAACGGGACGAAATGGGCACCCCGTCCCATCCAGTGTACCGCTTCACATGAGCCCATCTTGTTTAGAACTAAGTGGGCCGGGCCGGGACACGGACGAGACGGCCCGTCCGTTGGACAGCCATACTCCATACATCCCTATTCCATGAACCATTTGAGTTCATGTATTTAGTTAATTCATCACTTAATATTTGTAACCTTTAGGTGTATTCTTGTAACCTTTCAAGTATCCTATATCCTATAAATATGGTATACTTTATCTTATGAAGGACACACAAAAAACACACTTGAATAAGATAACTTCTACATTCTCCTCCTATACGTCTTGTCTCTATTATTATATTGTTCTACTTTGCTCTCACTTCTTATCAATAAGGCCTTTACACATTCAAATGCCATCATTCACGCTTCTCTCTTAGTAGTACCTAAAAAGAATATATCGAAAAATTAACTTAATTAGCCGATTATCCAATCGCTTTTAATAAAAAATGGCCGCCGGTATGTATATATATTATAATTTATGTATAATATGTATAAACTCGTGTATTATCAGTATCAAATCAACGCACACGGACTAGAAAAGGGAGAAATTAAAAAATAGCCAGATTTACAAATGGTCATTCAAAAATAGTCACAGTTTCAAAAGTAATCGAAATTTAGCCACTTTTCATGTAAAGATAATTCTGAATGAAAACATTGTTCAAAATGCGGAAAAATACTCCAGTATAATATGCTGGAACTCCAGTATATTATACTGGAGTTCCAGTATAATATACCGGTCCAGCATAATATACTGGAACTTTTCGCGTGTCGGAGTTCCAGCATAATATGCTGGAAGTTCATACACAGATGCACCAATCTCCAGTAAATTATGCTGGAACTTTCCGTGTTGCAGTAAAATAATGGCTATTTTTCAATAACTTTACAAACGCTGGCTATTTTTAAATGATCAATCCGAAAACTGGCTAGCCCGTGCTATTTTTACGCTTGAAAAAGTTAATAGTGAATCCGTCTGGCTATTTATATAAAGTTCCCGAAAGTATTGCCATTGGTCAGGTGGGCGCAATTATGTATGGGTTATGTTGCATCTATATGGGTTTGGGTCAGCTAGCTCATAATGGACAAAAGAATTGCATCACATAACCTTTTTTGAGGCTACTCTTTCAAATTTGCCTCTTTTATTTATTTTTACAAATATAGCCTCTCACTTTAGCTTGGATTCTCTTCATCTTTGAATACACAAACAAACTAGTCGTGTCTTCTGTGAACAACCATTATTGTGAAAGCTTTTTTTCTTCAACAAAGTATTTTTTAATCAAGACACAACCTTTAATTTAAGTACAATATTGATGCTTAAGTTATTGATCAAGTTGACCAATGTAGTTTAGTTTAGTACATTTAAGTTGGGATAACTCTAACATTAATGAAATTATGTACTCATCCTTCTTTTAATCTCAACAATTTAGTGTTGTTCTTATCCAGAATATAAGTGAGTAAGATCCCTTAGACGCTCAACATATCTAAAGGTGGAGCCAGAATTTTAATTTTACGGGTCTGAATTTTAGAACGACGACTTTAAGTGCAAATGACTAGGTTCTAAATTTAATAGTTTTACATATTTAATAAATTTCTCAACATAAAATACACTATTGAGAGTTCGACTGAACCTGTAGCTCGACTTTTGCCTCTGCCCCTGAGCATATCCCTTTCACCAGAATCGTCTTATCATATCTAAAATGACCTCGACCTATTTCAATATTCCAACTATCATTTTCGGAATGCAAAAATACATGAAAAAGTATATAAGAAACAAGAACGATGGCATAAATATATATATTCATTAAATTTTTTTTCATACTGAAGAGATGGATGAAAATACATCAGACCTTAATCATCACCACTTAGTTATCAAATCTGTATATGGCACAAAAAAGATGTCATATGATAAATAAATGCCATCTTCCCTCGCACTATAGTCACACTCTGATATTACTTGTGAAGCTTTATTTCTGCAAGAAAATCCTTTAAACACATCAATAGAAACATTCTTTGAACCCCACCAAAAGTGACAAAAATACAAAGTTCTTCCAAAAATATTTCTTTTGAATGTAAAGCTGAATGTCTCTTGCATTTGGAGTGTATGGAATCCAAAATCATCATCTTTTGATGCACAATGAATCACCAAAGGAGGGCCACTGGGTAAGGAATTTGTAATATTAACTACACTTTTTGGTAAGCCCCAAGAAGATTTATTATTTGTTGGGAGGTTATAGGCATTTAAGCTTGGTATGATGTAAAATGACAAGATAATGGAGAGTAAAATAACACTAATGACTGAGGAAAAACTCATATTGAAGCGATAAAATTTGGTGATTGGAATGACAATTGATCTAATTTTATACTAGGGAAAAGAGGGTAAGACAGTAATTTAAATAAGTCAACAGTCAATACAAAGATCTTTTATGAAAGTGTAATGATTAATTATTTTTTCATTTACAAGGAGTGAAAAAATGAATTTATTATAGCATGTTGATAATAGGATTGGATAGATTTCTTACCTAAATTGCAAGAGATTAGCAACCCAGGTGGTAAATTATTGAATAATTTTTTATAATATAGGTAGTTTCTTAACCAAATGTTCTAGGATGGATAAGAGTTAATATATGCTTGTATACGGTGGAAATCGGGGCTACCCGATTTAATCCTTTGATCGAAAAAGAGATACCATGTCGAAAGGCCAGGATGCCGTGTCCGGGATCGAAGTTTCTTTCCAAGATCGAGGTCGACATCAATAACCGAGGTCAGAAGAGGGCATACTTCGAAATGATATCGGTATAGTTCAGTAACGGAAAGGGCGAGATATCCGCAGCGGATCGAAGATCGTGGCGTGAATTTCGGAATGGATTGATCTTCGGCGGTTAATTAGATGTTAATATGATTTCCTACTATAATTAGAAGTGTACCTTATTTAGGACTCCCCTATTATATAAAGAGGGATCCCATTCATTTGTAAGCATCATTGTTCACTGATAAGAATATATACACTCATTACTTCCTTGTTATTTCACTTACTGTTTATCAGAGTTGCTTTATCATTTGCTATTCTTATTATCACACCTCGAGATTACCACAAGCCGAGGTCGAAATTTGGCTAGCATACTGGTTTGACTTATTTTATTCTCTAATTTATCTATTTAATTTCTTATTTATCAATTGATATTGGATTGAATCACATATCCTTAAAACCACAATATAAATTTAATTGTTATTCGAATTTTAAGGTAAAAAATGCTATATCGTGGTAAGCTAAATTTTTATTGTTATAAAGGAAAAATGAATTCATATTTTAAATATAGGAAACTTAATGAATTTATTGTGTGAATACAGGAAAAAGGAAAATTCCTGATCCTTATAAGATAAGAGCTATTTGTGAATTTCTTATAATTAAACAAGTATAACTCATTACTACGTCATTTGCCGAAAAAATCAAGTTATATAACACTGAAAAGTGTACAAATTAGTAAATACCTTTATACATAACAAAAAATATATATATAACTACTAGAATTAGCTACGAATTTCGTCGCTAATTTGTCACTAAATCGCTCGTACCAAATAATTTTTTTTAAATAATCGGTCACTAATCCATCGTAAATATAATTAGCGACGAATTTTTCTATTTAGCTACATAATTTATCTGTCGCTACTTCATGTGATGACTGGTATAGTTAACATGTTACAATATACAAATTATTTTCAAGTCATCGGACTTGATTTGCTATAAGTAGTTACCTGGTATAATAGATTAACTCAACCTGATGGTTTTAAAAAATTGTACACAGTCTGTACATAACTTAAACTCGTAAAAAAAATACTGAAACAATGACCAGAAGAAAAAACTCACACACACATATATTTATTTTGTTCAACAAACTCAAGATGCTAGCAACATGTCTCTTGTAAGTTTAAAAGGCAAAAATAATTTTTCTTGATTAGGGAGACTCTCTTTTATCACAAGTACTTCTTTGAAATTTTTCATCCATTTTTGTAAATTAGGGAATGAGTTTTCTTCAAGCAGTTTGACACCTCCGACTTCTTCTACGATTTTCAGCCAATGAGAAATCCATCCAAAGATTATGTCAACTATTCCAACATTTTCTCCACTGAAAAATAGTTTCTGATTTCTAAAACCATGTTCTTCAATTGTTTTCAACATTTCTAAGCTGGATTTTACTGCCTTTTCTTGTTCTTCCCCTGTGGCTCTAAATATAATCCAAAGGGATACACTCTGCAAAACATTTTCAAATGTATTATGGACAGTATTTTTTTCTAGAGAATATTTAAGAACGAATAACATTAGGTGCGCAGTTAGTCCTTTATTCATTTTGGACATACCACAACAACAACATTAGTGCAGTTGGATATAGGTTTTGTGCACTTTGCTTATTTTTAGGAGGAGTTTGAGCCAATAAATAGATAGCAGGGGACGAAATTAATAAGAGGAGATGACATTTAGAGTGTGTTTGATACGATATATGGAATATATTTTTCTCTAACGTTTGGTTGGTGAGTGAAACTTTTTTTTTTTTTGAAAAATATTCATATTAGTGATGAATAATTATATTAGCAAATTGGATAGTGTTTTAGTGATATTCCTGAATCCTAAGCATTAATAATTTAAGTGCTAGTCAGACAAGTAATATGGCTACATAAGAAAACAAGTAATATAATAGTAAGGAAAATGATTTAGGTGAAATTCAAAAATAGCCAGATTTATACCTGGTCGTTCAAAAATAGCCCAGTTTCAAAAGTAATCGAAATTTAGCCACTTTTCATGTAAAGATAAATCTGAGCGAAAACACTGTTCAAAACCCGAAAAAATACGCCAGTATATTATGCTGGAGTTCCAGCGTAAGTATACTTGAACTCCAGCATATTATACTAGAGTTCCAGTATAAGTACACCGGAACTCCAGCATAATATGATGGAGTTCCAGCATAAGTACACTAGAACTCCAGCATAATATACTGGAGTTCCAGATCGGTCCAGCATAATATACTGGAGTTTGGAGCACCGGTGCTCCAGTCTCCACTATATTATACTGGAGCCAGCAAAGTATACCGGTGCAGCATAATATGCTGGAGTTCATACACAGGTGCACCGAACTCCAGAATATTATGCTGGACCGGTCTCTGTTGCAGCAAAATAGTGGCTATTTTTCATTGACTTGGTAAACGCTGGTTATTTTTGAATGACCAGTCCTATTTTGACAAATGATTTACGTCCATAAGTGAGGTAAGTCGTTTTCCTCTTTACCAAAAACTATTTTCTTGTTACCCAACATGAGAAAAAGACTTTTTTTACGGAAACCAACACTTTCTTTTAAAAATGACTTTTGACATTCCAAACGCTCCCCGAGTGAAAATTGAAATCTACACCTATAAGCGATGAAGAAGTTAAAATTCTTTATCAACGTGTAAAAGTTAAACTCATTAAAAAAAAAAAAAAGTAAGGCAAATAATCTTACCTTTTCTTCAAAATAATTAACCCAAAATCGAGCCACAGCTCTTTCATAAGGATCATTTGGGAACAAAGGATACTGATTCGGCCATTTTTCTTCAAGATATTCAAGGATAACCATAGATTCACATATTGGTTTTCCAACATGAACAAGAACTGGGATTTTTTTGTGAAGAGGATTATATTTCAAAAGCAAATCACTTTTATTTGCCAAATCTTCTTCTATATATTCATATGATAAGCCCTTTAATTTAAGAGCCCATATTATTCTTAAAGAATAAGGACTAGGCCATGCTCCATATAGCTTCAAATCTTGATCCATTATTTGGTCTCTAAGTTTCTGAATTTTCTTTCTCATTTTAAAAGAAAATATTGAGAGCTTATGCTTGGTCGACTAAGCAAAGGTTTTTGGATTTTCATTAATAAAGTTTAGAATATAGCACCTTTGGTTAGACTAATTAATTAATTAACTAATTAAGGTTAGTTCAAATTGTGATGTATTAGTTATCTTTATGAATTTTTTATCAACTTTAGTCAAAGATGCATGACAATGACTAACTAATTTATGCTTTATTCAAAGTTCCCTTCTTATTATATACGTTCTTTATTTATATTTTTACTTCTGACTTTCTTTTTCTTAAATTCTTTTTTCCTTTCCTGTAGGTAGCTAGTTGATTACTTATATTTTTCTTAGTCCGGGGCTTAAACTTTGACTAGTTACTTTTAGTGCAAAAGCTTGGCTAGTTCTAATGGAATTATAAAATCAAATAATGGTGCATATATATATTAGGGAGGAAATTATAAGAACATAGGATATGATTAAAATCAAGGAGGTCATATTGTAGGGAGCAATCGTGAGAAAACAAAATTATGGTACAAATTGCAAAATGATGTACACATAAAGGATGCAAAATGCAAAGAACTCTCAAAATCTTCCATCACATTACCTTTTTCATTTTCAAGTGAAATTAAGCAAAAGAACACTGATTTTGGCTAACTATATATTCTTAAAGGTTATTTTGAGAACTTTTCTACATTTTCTGGTCAAGAAAAAAAAAATTATTTGTCTTAAAACTTATAAATATAGAGGTCTTTTTACTCATTAAATCCGAATGTCCTCTTTTAAGTTCTACACTGAATTTTGTATATTGTACAAGGGAGAAAAAAATTTAAAAAGAAGATAAAACAATCTTTTTCTTGGCGGAAAACGATATACGACAAATAGATGCTCTACCTGCGTATAATGGTTTATAATTTTGGACCTAGCGAGTCAACCTAGTTGAATAAGGGGGCTTTTGAGCTCAAGCCTCTTTATTGGTTGGGCATTTGAGCGCATCTTTCTCGTATCTGTTTAACCAGAAAACTGAATATTTGGTTAAAGCTAGAATTTAATAGAGAAATCGGGTTACTGATAATCAAGAAATAAGAGATTTTGTGAACAACAATAAAGCAATGAATAAGAGTATATTTCAGTATAATCGGAATGATATTTCGTGTCTTACAAATGTTGTGACTTTCTCCTTTTATAGTCAATTCTAAGAGAAAGTGTAATATCTTTGTCTTAATGAGGTAATTACGAGCAGTAAATGACATTAAAAGAAACATTATTCAATCATTCTTATTAAATACAAATTCTCTAACGTATTTGGCATTTAATGTTGAATTTGGACTCTTTTACGCTATCAGATTCATATCTTCAATTCCTTCTGATCTTCGAGCTTTAAATGTCTCGAACAGGTACGAGTCTCGTTTCATCTGGATAGTAGCTCGTATCTTCTCTCCCGCATCTATTGTTGCTCGTGTCTTCTAACTGTTTGTCATGCTTTGACTATTTGACCGGTCCACGTGTCATGACATGTCATCTTCAATATTTAAATTCAGTTTTTTCCCGTATCGGTATTTGATATAAGGAACAAAAAGCAAAGGCATAACAGGCACGGGAAAGCCATAGCTAAGTACACACAAATTTAATTGGTTGGTGACTTTCCAAACATGCTCTAAGCATAAAAAGATATTCTTGATCAGTTCACATAAAAATGATGAAGAGAGAAAAAACCATGCTAAACCAATGATAGACAGTATTATATATCTCGCACTCACAAGAAGAAATAATATTTATACAATATATAATGTCTTTTACCAATCAGAATATTTGTAAACATCACCATTTTCGTTGCTCAAATAAAATCCATCTTCCTTCATGACCAGTTACATTGATAGCTAGGTTCTGAAAGTGGTGACTTTATAATACATATTTCTGAATTATCAAACACAACGAAAGCTTTATCTTTTCAACCCCACCAAAAAGGTCAAAAGAAAAGTATTCCAGAAAATTAATTAAAATAAAATAACCATGTTATATACTATTGATTTATGCTAAGGTGAAAATATATAGCTAATTTCATCATCTCCTCCTGATGCACAATGAACTGTTACTTGAGTGTTTTCACCATAAAAAATGATACTACTTTTTACTTGTGAAATGTTAGGCAAAAGGTTGGATAATGAAAATAAGATGACTTTGATTGGGAAATGACTCATGTTGATATATTCTGTAAAAACTATTTCAATTATTTGTCTCACGCATATTAATATTAGCTTACTATATAATGAAATAATCAATGAGATTCTGAAAATTTTTGGTTGTCATTTTATAGGGCATGGATTTATCAAAGGTAATTTCTTGAATGCATTCCCTATTTGACAATTGGGAGCGCATATTAACATTTTCATGAAAGCTAAATTCTGGACTTTCCCCCCCTTTTTTGCTTCTCTTTTTATCCCTCCCTACTTTCCTCTTTTGAACAACACTTACTTTGTATATTCTTTTTTGGTTTCTCCTTTCCTGTCCTTTTAGGTCATTTTTGTTTCATTTTGTTTATAATAATATAATATCCTATATTTTTAATAAGGTGTATAGGTCATTAGAAAAAAAAAGAGCAAAACAAATAAAATAAGACCAAAAGAATAATAATATATAAAAGAGGGCAAATAAGCTAAGGCCCATCAGATTGAACCTAGCGTTCAAATTAAAGGATGGAAAACCCTTAGCCACTAAAGCATCAAACTTAGAAAAGTTTCATTGCTGCCTTTAGCAGCAACACCGTGATCCATCAAAAGGAAATTGGCACATATTTTCGAGCCTCAACAATAGAGTTCCAAGTAACCACAAGCATGCTTCCATCTATTATGGCAATATTGATTTTAGATATAGAATTTTATAGTATGTTTGGGTAATTACAAGGGTGTGATTTGATTGAGAATTGGGGAAAAACAATTGGAGGATTAAGAATAAAAGAAGAACGAGAAGATAGCAGTGTAATTTATTTAAACTAGTATCTTTATATACATGATTAAGGAAATTGAATAGTTATAGGGAATAAACTATATAATTGTCTTTTTATTTGAAAAATTTTGGACTAATTAAAATTACTCATAGCATGGGTAAATATAATACGGCGAATTCAGAGTCAAATATGAAACCCCGATGGTTGGGTATTCTAAATTAGCTATGAACTAGCCTAAACAAGGAAATTAACATGAGATCAATATTATGTAATTATAGATTGATTAGAGGTAGTTGTACAAATTGTTCGAGGTGAAGCATTTGGTCTTTCGGCACGAGTACTGTGAGTAGTTACCCTTCCGCAATTTGTATTTTCATAACTTGCATGGTTTATATATGATTTTGAAAATAAATGTACTACCGATGCTCTGAAAATTTGCGTGGGGGACAAGCCCTTTACTCGATATGATATCGAAATGATTATTATTGTTTTAAATATTCTCATCGTTACTAGATATTTTTACCATTACCAAACTAAAATTACACGATTTGATGAAAAATTATATGCCCTTTATTATTTTGAAAATGCTTTCATACGAGTATTAATGTTTACAAGAAATAGTGTTAATGGGAGGAGACTTTGAGGATCCCGTAGCTAACGGCGGGTTCGTTAGACCTGGTGCGCCTTGTATTTTCGATTACCGAGTACAGTTATAGCCCTCCTAGGGGGAATGTAGAACTAGCATACAATTACAATTTTCCCTCGATTAGGGACCATCAGTTATATTTGACTCTTTTTACGAAAGGGTCCATACAATGATACAGATTACATGATCATTTCTTGGAAACCTCCCAAATATAAAGATTTGCTATGACACAGTATTTACCAAGTTTATTATCGATTTGTTAAATTGATTTCCGTTATAGGAAGCACATGAATAGACTGATTATATTTACCATTTTTGAGAGAGCATTTTATTTTTATGATAGTTCAGATTATTATTATACAAGCATATTTTCTGACTTGTCCCCAAATAAAAACGGTTGTGATTAAGTGTTATTACTCACTGAGCTAGCGACTCACTCCCCGCTATTTTTTTAACAGAGACAGCGGTTGACGCACGCGAAGGTTTTGTTAATTAGAGCGCAGGTTGATACTTCTTGGTAAGCCCCGCACTTGTTCGCGTGCGCGAAGAGTTTTATTTATTTGCTATAGTCTTTTCTTTTGAGCTCTTAGAGTTGCTCCATCGTTATATTATTAGTGTCGTGAGTATTCATTTGGTGATATGGACTAGTTACTAGTATTACACTTTCTTTCCGTATTTTTAGAGTTAGTTTGGGTTTTATTATGTTGAGGAGGTTGGTAATATTAATGGAAACTCATTTGTGGTTAGTTGATGAAGGTTGTGACTGATTTAGGTGAATATTGGTTGGTTGTTACTTGTTTATGAGACAGGAAATTTTTTGGATAGTCCAAAAAGAGGGGAAACTCTGTCCGTTTTTCTGTAAAATACCGATAAGGCTTACTTGGGAGCACCTGCTCCTAAGCGCCGATCACGATCCTAAATTGGATCGTGACAAAGTTGGTATCAGAGCTTAGGCTTTAAGTCCCGAGTCATGGAGCAATGTTTAATAGAGTCTGGTTCATGGGTATGTAGGCGTCCATACGTATGATCTTGAGGCTACTAAGCATTTAGAATGTTTTCCCTTCCTTCATTCCTTGATCGTGCTTGAGATAAATGAGATTGACTTTGGAGCATTTCTTTCGCAGATGGCTAGGACACGCACACCCTCATCTACTGGACTTGGTACTACCCGAGGTGACAGTCAAGTTGGGTTCATCAAACTAAAAGACATGCCGCTCCTTAACCTGAAGTTATGAATATGGGTTAACCCTAAACTTCTATACCGGATCAAGTTCAAGAACAGGGAGTTCGGGACGCTCCACCACCAATACCAATTATTGTACCTACTGTTACCTTACATGCTGACACAGTGGCAAGGTTATTGAATGTGTTAGAGGCATTGGTGCCTACTCAGGGTGGAAGTTCAGCTCATCAGGCTACTTTACAGACACAAGCACTTG